CGGCCCATCATAATCGTGCCTGGCTCGGCACGGCCCGCCATGGCACGATCACTATACGGGCCGTGCCGTGCCGGCCCGCGTGCTGCGCCCCCAGGCCCAGGCACGGCCCAGTTAGTAAACAGGCCGACACGTTGGTCCGTTTAGCACGGTGGGCCGCATATTTTCAGCCTGTTATTTGTCGCATTGAGCGTTTTTAGCCTATTTTTATATATTGGGCCATATATAGATGTATAAAAAATAAAAAAACGTGATCGGGCCGTGCCGTGCCAGCCCGCGTGCTCAGCCTCCAGGCCCAGGCACGGCCCAGGGCGTGCCGCGTGCCGTGCCTGGCCCAAGGCGGGCCGTGCCGCGCGTGCTCATGGGCCGGCCCGAAAAAACGGCCCATTTGGCCAGCTATAGGCCGAGTTATACCCAATGTAAACCCGATTTTAACACAGCGGCCTCTGCATAATTTCCAAAATTCCTTGTCGTTTTCTGTTCCCCGAAATATCATACCATTGTGCCATCCTCATTTTAAAAACATGTTTTTCAACATTTTTTCAGTTACGTGTTAAACATTTTCTTGAATGATACAAAAAAGTGTTTTAACTATGTCAATAATTTTGTACATTGTATAAACTTTTTTAAAAATGTCACAAACATATTTTAAAAATATGAACAGTTTTTAAATGTAACATGCATTTTTTTTAATGGTACCATGCATTTTTTTTAGTAGCATATATAGCAGCAGATTAATCTGACCCAACTGAACCGAATCATAAGTCTGCGTAATAAAGTAGTTAGAGATCATAAATGAAGTAAACAACTCATAGGGGGAGCATGGCTTCGAACAGCAATTCAAAGGGATCCCATCCCTTTCCGATCGCTTGTCGGCAGCCTCGATTCGAGCGCCTTGTCCACGTCGGCGCCGCTGTCCGAGGACAACTTTCTGGTCCTTCTTGCCCATAAAAAAAATCTCTCACCATGGCGGTTGCTCCGCCTGTCTCTCTCTCGCTGCTTGAAGCCGGAGGTGACAGGTGAGTCTTCTTCGGGAGGAAGAGAAGAGCGCAAGGTTGGAGTTTTTGGAGGAGGCGGGTGCGGCGGGTGAAAAGAAGACGGAGAGAGTCAATGTTCGTGATATATCGTATCTCTAGACATATCTTGTTGTACAGAGTAAGCAAGCAGCAAGCACAGTTTTTTCTAGATATCGTTATGCAAAGAAGCATAATGCACTTTGCACCTGTGGTTTTCTGGGGGTGTTCTTTCTTCTAATTTTCTTGCGCAAGCTGATATATTTTTATTCTCGTGAATACTGATGATTACAAGCTGTTGCCAGTCTGATTTTATTGTCTTTCTATTCTTCAAGGTGTTCCCCGTTTGATCCCCTTGGACCTTGGTTGTGTAGGGTGACCGAGAGGAGCTTGTCACACGAGCCTGCGGAACAACTGCACTGCCGCAGGCTGGTTACTACCCAAGACCGGCGTTCTGTGTTGTCTAGTGGTAACTGGACGCAATACGTCAGCGATGTGAAGGACAGCTTGGCGGACCAACCTGTCAAGCTCAAGCTGTTCCTCTGGTTCCTACGCAATTTCAAGAACTGGACGTATGTATATATGTCATACATAAGCAGTAGCATTAACAACAATTTACCGATTCTTCCTGTTTTTGTGTTGTGATCGACTGAAGTTGAATCCTGCTACTTTTGCAGAATTGATTTTGCAGCCAGCTCAATAAAGGCCGTGTTAGAAGGACAACCCAAGCTCATCCATCGGTTAACAAGTTCTTCCCTAATTAACTATCATCAGATCGAGGACAGTACCTCAAGGAGCAGCCGGTCTGATCATATTTGGCCATTCATACAAAAAAAGCATGAAGCACTTTAGAACAACTGGTTTTGCTATGTTTTATTTTCTATTTTTCTCATCCAAGTTTATATTCTTTTATTCTTGTCAATTTTGACCTGTTGCCAGTCCGATTTCGGTATCCTCGGTTCGATCCCCTTATTTCTGAACGGTGGCCAAGGGGAGGCAGTCATACAAGCCTCCTACGCATCCGCTGCGCCGGCGGAGCTGGTGGTTCCCCATGGCATGAGTTCCAACGGCCGGGTTTATATGTCAAGTGGGAACTGGGCGCAGTTCGCCAGCGGCGTGAAGGCCAGCTTCGCAGACCAACCTGGGAGGCATGAGAAGTTTGTTCGATGCATATCCAATATCGTGAACTCGAGGTTGGTGATGCAAGAGCAGTAGCATATTTGCAACAATTTGCCGATCCTTTCTGTTTTGAGCCGCGATGGATTGTAGTTGAATCCTGTTGGTTTTGCAGGGATGATGATGTGAGCGATGTGGCCAGTGTAAAATTGGTTGAAGCGCATGCCTTAGCAGGGACGCGTTGCGTGTTATTTATAGATCATCGGTACAAGGTCGGTAGTTCAGGTTGTTGGTGGATTGATCCTCAAGCTAAGATCTATACAAGATAGAGATCAATCCTAACCAACCTAAACTACCTAGAGTACAACACACGCAACCCATACTACACGCGTACGTGGTTTATACATCACCACGTACGTACACATTTACATTGTCTAACACTCCCCCTCAATCATAACTTACCAAGTTGAGATTGCTCTTGAAATCTTCCAATTTACGCCATGATAGGGCTTTGGTGAAGCCATCTGCAACTTGATCATTGGTGGGAATGAAACGGATGTCCAGTAGCTTCTTGGCTAATCTTTCTCTCACAAAGTGATAATCCACTTCAATATGTTTCGTCCTTGCATGAAATACTGGGTTTGCTGAAAGGTAAGTGGCACCAATATTATCACATCAAAGACATGCAACTGGTGAATGTGTCACACCTAACTCTTTTAGCAGAGTTTGAACCCATATAATTTCTGCTGTGGCATTTGCTAACGCCTTGTATTCTGCCTCAGTACTAGACCTTGATACTGTTGCTTGTTTGCGTGCACTCCAAGATATCAAGTTGGGTCCAAAGAAAACAGCAAAGCCACCTGTGGACCTTCTGTCATCTGGACATCCTGTCCAATCTGCATCTGAAAAGGCACTTACCAACGTAGAACTTGACTTGGAAAATTTCAGTCCAGTACTCATGGTTCCTCTGAGATATCTAAGAATTCTTTTTACTGCAGTCCATTGTTCAAGGGTAGGAGAGTGCAAGAATTGACATACTTTATTGACAGAGAAGGATATATCAGGCCTTGTCAAAGTCAAGTACTGCAATGCACCTACCACACTTCTGTAATTTGTAGAATCATGAGCTCCCAAGATTTCACCATTTTCCTTAGAGAGCTTTTCGGATGTGGACAGAGGCATATTTGACACTTTGCAATTCATCATACCAGCACGTTTTAGTACATCTGATACATATTTTTTTGAGTTAGAAGTATACCATCCTTGACCTTCTTCACCTCTATTCCCAAGAAATAGTGCAAGTCACCGAGATCTTTTAAGGCAAAATCCCTTCTGAGATCTTCCAACAATGCTGTAGTTCCCTCCTGTGAAGAGCTAGCCACAATAATGTCATCGACATACACAAGCATAAAGATGGTGATCTTGCCTTTGCTATAAAAGAATAATGACGTGTCGGCCTTTGATGGTCTGAAGCCAAGCTTTTGAAGTTTTTCACTTAACCTAGAATACCATGCTTTAGGTGCTTGTTTCAACCCATACAAGGACTTATCAAGCTTACATACATAGTGTTGCTTGTTTTTCACCTCATACCCAGGAGGTTGTCTCATATACACTTCTTCCTCTAGAACGCCATGAAGGAACGCATTCTGCACATCCAACTGACGAAGACTCCAACCTTTTGATACTGCAATAGATAGAACAAGTCTGACAGTAGCAGCTCTAACAACTGGACTGAAAGTGTCCTCGTAGTCAATGCCATATCTTTGTTTAAAACCTTTTGCAACTAGCATGGCTTTGTATCTATCTATTTCTCCGGTAGCCTTTCTTTTAACTCTATAAACCCATTTGCAATCAATAATATTTCTTCCCTTGGCCGGAGGAACTAGGTGCCAAGTTTTGTTTTTGATTAATGCACTATATTCCTCATCCATTGCATTTTTCCATTGTTTACTTGCAAAGGCTTCATGTAGACTATGTGGTTCTTCTGTAGTAGTAAGACCAGCAAACTTAGTTTTACCATACCTGACCGTACCATCTATACGTACTTTGGGTTTTGCAATACCATGCTGAGAGCGCGTACGTCGATTTTGTTCGGGTGCGGCAACGGTTGACGCAGATGATCCTGCAGCTGGTGCAGAAAATCCCACCGGATCTGTCGCAGAGGAGCCAGGGGCATCCGATCCGAGACGGATCTCGACAGGATCAGCAGGCGCGCCCGATCCGAGGC